ATGCGCGGCGGCGGCGCCGGGGCAGGGGCGGCCCGGGGCGCCGCGATGCTGCCGCTGCCGCTCGTGCTGCTGCAGAGCGTCCTGCGCCTGGTGAGTGAGCGCCGGCCACGCGGGAACGTGGCGCGCGCCGCGGCGGCCCCGCGTTCCGCCGCGCGCTCCGCGGCCGCTTCCCCCCGCTCCGGCGTTTGGAGCGTTTTTTTTTTTTTTCTTTTCCGCTCTGGATCGCCGGTGCCGTCGGGCGCTGGGGCCGCGTTAGGGCGGGAAAGCCGCCCCGTGTCCGATTGCCACCCCGCGCAGGGTGTCGCCGCGCTCCGAAGTGTCACCGCCCGCGGTGGCCCCCGGCACGGCGGGGAGCAGCGCGCCGCATCCCGCCGCCCCTTCCCGGGGGGAAAACTCCCCGCGAGCGGCCCCAGCTCCGTCCGGAGATGCTGAATCACCCCAAGTGTATCTATATGTAATCATTAAAACACTCATTTTAAACTGCTTAGGAAAATATTATTGTTTGAAATTGTCCCTCGGCACCCCACCCTGCACAAGGCATTGCTATCGCGTTATTGCAATATTACTTTTCCCTTCCCCCGCCCGCCGTTTAACGGCTCCGCTGCCCAAAGTTTGTGTCTGCGGGAGATGGGAAGCAGGGAATAAACCTTGACGGGATTAAGCATCCTCCATAAGATCCAGATCCCAATGCTACGGCACAGGCTGATTGATTAGTTTTTTGAGGGAGCTTATATCAAATTGTAATCCCCTTTTTTTTTTGGTTGTGCTTGTCTTGTAATGCGTATTTCTCTTTTTTCCCCATCTTCTGCTGGAGCACTTGATGGTAGCGGGGCAGCCGCGAGCTGCGGCGCTGCGATAAGGCGCCTGCCGTGCCGCTTTGGGGCACTAAAAGGGCTGTTTTGGGGCTGYTTTTACTGGAAAGCAGGGTTTCCAGCTGCACGGGGATGCCACTGCAAAGCCGTAACGGGATTGCAAAGTTACTGAGCCAAAAAGCCCCCAATAAACCCGCTGCATCCTTCCACCCGCAAGTTCAGGCGCCTTCGCGTGTCTGTAAACTGGTATCAAAGAGACTGAGTAAAATTTGTCCCATCGCGGTTTGGTTTCTTCCTTTCTGTGCTCCTAGGTAGGGCTCGAGCTCGTGCTGACGGAGGCAGCAAAGTTGCTGTTCTGGGTAGGACAAAAATTGCATAGAGTGTGTGCAGGTTTGGGGATGGAGGTGGCGTTTAGCTCGCAAGGGAGCCTTTGATTTTCTGCATCCTTTGTATAAAAGCAGGCAAAGTTCTGGAGGCAAAACAGTTAAATAACAAATGAAAACAAGAGGAGAATTTTTTGGTTTTAGTGTTATTTTAGCCCTATCTTGCAGTGCTGCTCTGTTACCAGAAAGTTGCGTAAATAAGTTTTACCTTACTGCTAGCAGAGCACCTGGTTAACTGTAGGTAAGTTGCAATTTTTTGTAATTGGAGTTTGCAGCTGCTTGGTGGTGGCGACGGAGGGGAATCCGAGTCCCGTGTGGTCCTTTGTTCCATGGGCAACGTGTGGAATGACTCCTGGAATCTGATCAGCGCCTTTAGCAGGCGGGCACTGGCGATATTAATTCAGAGCTCTCATATTTTAACCAGASAGCAACATGGTTAATGTTAATACAGTGTGAAAGGCTCAGCGTTTGAGCCAAAAAGGAAGAAAAATGTGGCTTTCACAGTGGCAATACAGTAACAGTCTTGTAACCCACAAATTCCATCATCCAGCCCTCCCGCCGACTGTGTGTTCTTGATTTTTAGTGGAAACAGAGATGTTAAAATKCAGATTTTTCTCTTTTTGGTAGCTGTATGCTATGTTTTAATAAAGTTAGAAATACTTCTTCATTAGACTTAAATACAAAGCRTAGCTTAGTTTTGCACAAGTTTGGTACACATAGGCATAGATGTAAATCCATGTGAAACCTCACCAATTTGGAGAGATACTGAAGATGGAGAGATAAATCCACTGTGTTTCCGAAAGGCRAGTTAAATAACTGTTTATATGCTAGATCCAATACCATTCAATCATCAATTAGTATTTTACCACCTTTTCCTAGAGTGTTTTTTCATAGAAGTGTTTTTATAAAGCTTTATTGGATTACTGTTTTTAACTGGTAAATGGCATAGCACTGTGCATGCAGTTTAAAAACATATATATTTCTTAAATGACTGTACAGTTGGTCATATTAAGCACTGTGGTTTCATGATGTTGCATCGGGCTCCTGTACTAACTTGCTTTGGTGTAAGTATCTTCATTTTCCAAGTTATTTTATCCTATACTGTCAATATAGATCAAAGCAATAATGTGCAATGCACAGTTAATACATCTGGGCTCTTGCTGATAGCAAGGCAGAAATTGGTAGATGCTCTTGCTTTACATTGACTATTAATTTTTCAATAAGCCTTTCAATTGTCATGTAATTGCTCGCTGTCCTATTAATTATCTCTTTATAAGTAGTTGAGTTCTACGTTTTGGAAACAGAACTAAGGGATTGGGTTGTGTGGCTTAGGGTAAGCCTTCTGAGCTGTTATCGTCTACTTTGGAATGCTTTAAAAGGGCTTTTGTAACTTCCCTGGGAAAATTATTTGTAATTTTTAAGAATTTTTAAAAAAATACAGCATTCAGGATTTGTTTTAATTTCATTGATTAGCCACTTTAAAATGTTGTGTTTAACCAAATGGTTTAAAAACGGCTCTGAGGCTCTATAAAATGTGTGTTTTGTCTCTTTCCTTTCAGAAATGAGAGACAGAGAAAAACCTAAAGCCTGTGTATGGGTTCTGAGTGAAACAGCCGAGCCTGCTTCAGGAGCCGGCCAGGGCAAGGCAGGATCCCGAGCAAACACCCGCACCCGGCCCCGTGCCTGACCAAGCACCGCGGCCGCTTCGCTGCCCTACGGGCCAAGATTGAGCTATAGCATCTCATAGGCGTRAAATTCGGAGAAAAAACATGGGTTTTATTCATTTATTCAGGGCTGAAATTTTTACCTGCAATGGAAATTAATTTGTCCTACAAGCCAATATTTTTGGCTTTAGTTTGTTAAAATGGAATTAAAGGTTCTTAAAAACATTAGTGGGGGAAAAAAGAGCATTTCTAGAATGTAAGACAGTGAGCAGTGTAAGCAAGACAGTGCTTCAGGGGCACAAATAAACATAAAGTTAAATTTCCATTTAAATATGCATCCTATGCAAGGCATGGAAATGCCCTTGCGTTATTCCTGGCTGCTTGAATTTTCTCTCCACAGCTTTGCAAACTTCCTCTGTTTAACCTGCCTTTCGAGTGAGAATCAGAAATAGCTACTGTGCAAAAATAAATGCTTCAAAAMGGTAAATGTGACCCTCTGGTCGTCTTTGAGCGTGTGGATGAAACTGTCTCTGGATCTGGCGAGATCTGTGTCGGGAAGGACATTGTGCCCAACGTCTCATTTGGGTGATTTTGGGGCTATCTCTTGAGGCACTAGGCATTATAAACCTGTGACTTGTTCTGAGTGTAGAGCAGYAATTTAAGTTGTCTAAGAAGGGGAAAGCAGTTTGAGGACAGCTCAGCAAGTGCTGGTTTCAACACAGCCCCAGAAATTATTGCCCCAAAGTAGCGGCATCTATTAAGGCAGGTGGGAGCTAGGTTGAGTTTACGCAAGATGATGAAATGCAGTTAAACTCAACTCGTAGCCGTGTCGGCTCATCTCGGGGTGCCACCTGAGTTCCAGATGCTTGGGAGAATTTTACCCTTTTTACCAAAACGTGCGTTCCCTGAGGAGGAGCAGGAGCTGCTCGGCTGGGCACGGGGCGGTGACGTGGGGCACTGGTCCCTGTGGCAGGGACTTCCATCAGCCCAGGGTCTGCAGGTGACCTGTATGGGACCCGAGTCWTCTTTCTTGGAACTTCTGGTTGCAATAAGGAGCATATGTCTGGTTTTATATTGARTGGTTTGAAATCCAGGGATTCCTTCAGAGAAGAAAAATATATATAGTTCTATATGTGTGGGTTGCATCTTTGTCAGAGGCCAAGCGGGATGTTGTGGTGCAYAGGGAGGAATGTGTTTGATTCTTTCAAACATCCATATAGTGAAAGCAAATGCAGAGAGGGAAAAAAAAAGATTTTTTTACCCTTATTGTAAAATTACTGTAAAAAATGACTGGATAAAAGTGTGTGTACTTTGTAAACACAAAGTGCATTTGCCTTGTTAACCTGCCTTAGAGTTCTGATTTTTGCCAGCCCTTTAACCATTGCCATAGCCTGCTATAAGCAGAAGTTGYGACCTTGGGATTCATAGTAGATCAAAACTTGCAGCCCTGGAAAAGTGGAATGTGAATATTCCCATTTACATGACTATTACTTATTTATCCGGAATTTGATTTTCAAATGCCTTTTTGGGGAATGATTTAAGCTTTCTACCAGAATAACTTRTTTTTACTTGAATCATTTCCCCCAACCCCATTCAGTTTTTCCCTTTTCATTTCCATTCACTGTGTGCCCTGCCGTATTTTATAGGTACTGTTTCTGTACTCTCTTTGGATGGTTACAGGGTCATATAAAGAGAAAAAATGGTGGGACCTGCTACAAAGTAAGAGTTGTTACCAGTTTGCAAATTCTTCCAGATGAGGATTTTTTTGTCATTAGATTTGGGGCCGTGACAGCCACTTTTAGGACTCTTAGAATCCCTTTCCCCCCATTTAACACGTCACGTTTGCAGGTTTTCTCCGATGCTCTTTGAGTTCATCCCAGTGCGGTTCTTCCCGCAGGACGGCAGCRCCGGGAACGCAGCGTCCGTGAGTCCCGTGGCCGCGTTGCAGGTGACGTTCCCGTTGCCGAGCCAGGTGACGGGGACCCTGACGCAAAGCCCTGAGCGAGGAGCCCATCTCTGGCCTGGGAACCCGCAGGGACAGCTCATCACCATGTAGATCCCATGGGAAAGCTCCGCCGGGCAGGGCAGGACGCGGAGAGCAGCCCGGCTCTTTCCCTCAGCGCCAGTCAGGAGCTCGGTTTCAGCTGGCAAAGAGGTGGTTTTAGGACTGGAAAGACAAGGAAACAAATCAAGAGGGGAAGAGGAAATAAAGTGCTAGGAAGACAGATCCACAATTAAGACTAAGTAGCTTTGTCCTTAGCAGAAGGGTTTTTTTGATGCTGGTACAATGCTCTCTGCTCCCTGAGGAAGCAGCACTTACTCTAAACACAGAATTTGAACAAGTTGACTGTAATTTAAGGTAAAATTATTTCTGAAGAGCCTTTAGAAAGATAGATATTGAGAACAGATTTTTCTCTTTGATCCAAATGGTTCTTAGTAATAAAAGTTATTAATAGTAAGAATAAAAAGTAAGAACAGGGAGAAGTGAAAAATAAAAAGCTAATGTTTCTAGAATCAGTCTTTATTTGTGCTGGGACAGTGATAGTGTCATTATAATGCAGAGTTAGGGTTATCTAGGAGGTCGTATCCAGCATATTTGGCTTATGTTTATGTTCAGTGTTGAGTGGAGAATTTCCTTACTTGTTTTTGGTGGTGACCTTGTATTTCTGATACCATAAATTACCAATATAAAATCCTTAATTCCATCTTTCCTTAGCCGTTATCTAGGAATGGAAACAGCAGCTGTGCTTCAGTATTTGTTTTATTTTTATGTAGATTTCCATGTAAGGGTTTTCATGGCTTTGATGGAGAAAGGACGTGCTTGAGGCTGGCCTGAGGAAACGGAGCACCCAGACTTGGCTCTGGGAGTCAGAGATGATTGAGAGAGGAAGAGCTGGAGATGGAAATAAAAATATTGAYAGTAAAAAATAGGTAGGTCAGGTAGAGCAAATCCAAGCAGTCATGGGGTTACTGCAATAGAGTGACAAGGTCATGGACCTCGCTGTACAGGAGTACTCAGGTCTGTGCATGAGAGGTGGTGGCAGGTCTTTCCCRCCGTTACTCTTCCTCCTGGAGAGAGTTTGGAACAAGGGTTTTCCCAACCAGCCCCTTGATAGGGGGAAAAGTGAAGTAGGAAGACTTAGGGTCTCTGATTTTGTCTATATTCATGACTCTACATGTGCAAGAATCTGGAGATGTGTGTTAGTTTTTTTGGGTACTGTTGCTATTTTCATCCCTTGAAAGAGCTGAGGAGCCCAAATTGATAAAATAGTTGACCTTGAATTTTTTTTCTCTCGTAGGGAAAAACATAGGAGCACATAGGTGTATTGCAGCCCCCTGGGCTCTCTTCTCCTTGCAGGCACCCATGTACATGTGGCAGCTGGAAGTGCTGCCCCTCCTTGGGCTTTGTAGTACCTTGTGGTTGGGCTTGGCTGGCTCTACCCAGCAAAACTCGGGTGAGCTTCTCATCGTTGTCCCCAGGGCACTCTTGGTTTGAGAGCCCTGGGTACTGGGTGCAAAGACCGAAGCAAGGGTGAACTTGTTGGAGAAGCAGCTGCCTTCTGTGATGTGTTTGCATCCCAGGTGACTGACCGTGGTCATTGCTGCTTATGGGTTTCTGCTTATGGCTTTCAACCTCCTTAGGTGGCACTGCACTTGCTTTCCAAGTTTTAGTACCACGTACTCTCTTCAGATCGGGTTCTAATTGATCTACCTTTTTAATGCGTTAGCAAGRCATTTTTGTGGACTCCTGTATCATTTGTTTAGTTCAGGCTCCTTCTGAGAATACTCCACCATTTGACATTTAGCCTCCAAAAGACAAGAAAAGCTGCAAGTGAGTAATATTTAAAGTAAAATACACTTTGTGAAGGCTATATTTGTTTCAGAACCATATATTTAGAAACGGAGGAATCTTATACTGAAGCGGATAAGTGCATAACACAAACAGCTTTACCCCTACACTTAATTGACAGTCTGAGAAGGAAAATAATTAAAAAAAAATCCTAAGTATATTTACAATATAGTTTCATCTCAAGTCAGAAGTGTAATTCTAATATTTATTTTGCATAGCGTGGGATGTGGTGCAGCATGAGGCTGTGCTTACATGAGCATGTGCCAAATCTGCAACCGTCCTTGGATGACAAGGCTTAACTCAGGACCAATCCAGAAGTCCAGTCCAGCAGCCCAAGCTGTTGGGTTGTGATGGGTGGTTTTCCAGGAGGCACAACTCAAAGGCAGGATGGGAGGATACACTRCAAAGCCAGGGTGAGAGGAACCTGCTCCGTGAGCAAGCGTTGCACCGGTGAGACAGCTGGAGCCTGTGCCATTTTCCACTCATTAAACTAACAACACTACAGCACTAATCGGCTCYGCACGAGGATCTGTGGCAGAGATAGGGTTACCTCTGACTCCGTGGCACCACTGAAGAGTTGTGTGGCCTTAGCTTCATCTTTAATAGGGCACTGAGACGCTCGTGTACCACAGCTTCCAATTAAAATGCAACATGCGTCCTTTTAAAATAGGTGGAATTTCATCCGTGGGCTCTTCTGCTTTCTAAGACCAGGTGAGGAAAAGGGTGGCATTAAACTTCTGCCTGGGGCAGGGCAGATCTGTTTCCCATGCCAAGGAGGAAAATAAATTCATCTTTGGCTTTGGATCTATTACATTTAAAATGACTGAAATGCCTCTAGATGTAAGAATGAAAGAAGCATGGCACCTCTCCTACTGTCCATTTAATATTTATCCCTTAATCCCTGCATGCCAATGTGCATGACCTAAATACTAGCAGTGGGCAACCCAACGTTACTTGGGCTAGAGAACTGAGACTTCAGCATCTTATTTAACAATTTGTGGATCCTAGAAGGAATCTGTGACTCTTAGACTCTATATTCAGTGTTACTGATAATGTACCCTTGTTTAGTGCTGAACACGTGGGGAAGGAAGGAGGCTACAAGAGCTAATGCAGTATTTGTGATGACCAGGAGCACCATCTTCACAAGGTAGCCTTCTGCTGAGCTTGTGGTTTAATTTCAGYGAACAACACAACTGGAGTTGTAGTGGAGTGACAAGATTGATTTGATAAATACTAAAGTAATAGATTTACTGTCTTTGGTTTTGCTGGGTTGGTTTGTCTTGTCCTGTTCAGGTTAATTACTAATTTTTTTAATTGATGATGATAAAGTTTATAGCTGTGAAGAGGTTCAACTTTATGTTCTATTTAAGTATTTAATTTTGTAATCACTGTAATACAGAGATGTAGTTACTTCAACTGTTTTTTTCTGTACTAGTAATAGGAAATTTTTTAGCACAGTCAGTGATTATAAACTGTTTTGTGAGCAGGTAAAGGCCTCTCTGCTGTGAATGTAGCCCCTGTGAATGCCCTGAATGTCTCCCAATGAAAATGTGGACCTCTGTCTCATTTGTTTAGTTCAGGCTGCTCTTGAAAATAATCAGAAAAGAATATTCAGTCTCAACTGTACAAAAATCTTTTTTTCCTCATATTTTCAGTTTAGGAATAACAAATAGACATGCTCAGGAATTTTTGTACAATTCTTCAATTGTACAATCATTCAAATGATTTTTCAGATGCCAACATACTGCATTATTATTTTACCTTTCATAATTTTTCATATTTCCATGTGTATGCATGTGTGTTGTGTGGCATTTTTGGATATTCCTTTATGCACAAAATTAGCTGTGTTACACAGAATGATATAATTAATAGCTAGTAGCCTGATAAACCTGGAGGTTTATAGATTCAGGAGCAGACAGGCTGTCAGTGGTATAGAAAGGTGTTGTAAGGCACTGGAGAAGTGTGTGTGTCACAGCTTTGAATTAAGCATCTGCAGTTTGCATGAAGGGCCTGAGGACGAGATTTGTAACACTCACCTCACAGACCAAAGTGAAATACTGCCTGTTTCTTCCCAGCATGTTGTAACTTAAAATTTGTCCCATTTAGGAACTCAGAGCCATCCTGGAGTTTGAAAGGAACTGAGGAACTGCCTTTAGCTTGAGACTAGCCAGGCTGCTTATCCTGAAGTAAAGCAGCCTTCAAGGACTGATGAACAAACAGATGATAATGTCTCTGTTCTCTCTTTGCAAAAAAGTCGGAGGTTTTCCTCAGTTATGGTGCTGTAGGGGAATGTGAGGCCTCCCGGGGCAGCAGCCTGTTTGTCAGGGCACATGGGGTGCTGCAGGAGGTCACACAGGCCCTGCGCTTGGTGCTGTTTGGGTTCACGTGCCAGAAGGAGAAAGAATAGCTGCAAATGTGGCTGGTTTTGGAAGCAGAACAGATTGTAGTCACTTTTGGAAGCGGGATGGTTATGTTCAAATTCAGTGAGAAGGAATTTGCTAGCCTGGTATCCCGTAGGAGGATTTAGGAGCTGTGGTGCTCAGTGAGTCAACACAAGGTGGGCTCCAAATCCAGCTGCGGGGAATTTGTGTCAAAAACATAAGGACTGCAGGACCACGTGCCTTGCAGGGTGGCGTTAGAGGTTGCAGGTTTGCGACATGGGCATGGATTATGAATCTCTGAGAAGCTGGAGCTGCTGTCTYCCAAGTTCCCCTTGCTCTTTACTGCAGGAGGAGGACACCAGGCCAGCTCTGCAGTGCCTGTGGGCACTGCTCCTGTGGCACTCCCATTAAAGGCCCCAGTGACAGGCCTTGGGGAGCTTGACCGTTTAGCAAGTTCTCCCTAATATTACGCACAAAATTTTCTTAAGTCCTCCTATTAGGCTCAACTGTCCTTATTTAATAATTCTTGAGACATTTTCCTTTAGGCTGTGCTTAGGTGCTTGATAGGAGTGCGGGCTGCATCAAGTTCTGCCTGTTTCCTTTACTCATCTTTTCTACCGATCATGCAGATTTGGACTGACTTTTTTTTCTGTTTTCATTTTTCTTTCCTGTTTGTTTTCACAGAATGTCTTAACGTGAAGATCTCTGAGATGCTGACTCATCTGTGCTAGCATAACTTGT